TTCTTCTTCTTCTTCTTCTTCTTCTTCTTCTTCTTCTTCTTCTTCTTATTATTATTATTATTATTATTATTATTATTATTATTATTATTATTTAATCTTTAGTGAGATTCACAGCTTTTGGGACTGGTTGGTAGCTCAACCTAGGAACTGTTGAAGTAGCATCAGAGGATATAAGCTGTTATCATGGATTTTTATATTTTTTCTCTTGGATATGATTGGAATGTAAGTCAAATAAGCTATATACTTGTTTAACCTTCTTATATTATATTAGCAAAATATTTCATTGCATAATCAGTAGCATAGCTAGATTACTAAATATGTCTGAAAAACAATAAACCATAATCACCTCAGTACTATAGTTTATCATAAGCCAAGCAATGTTTTCTGAAAAATGATTTATAATAATCTCCTCACAGCAAATGACTGGCAAAATAAACAAATAAATACATTACTAGATAATTTTATTCATCTGTTGGAAAGACATCATACATATTTATATCTATAATTTCATGTATATATAAATAGTTGGTTATTGTGACAACTATTTGCAAACTTACTCTTTTAGGAAGCTAATAAAATGAAAAGAGAAATAAAACATGAAGGATATGCTCCTGTATGATACCCATATACTACCTAATTATCAATATTAGATATTATCTACTACCTCTTAGGAGATCTTTGTCTTTGACTTTGTTTAAGCTAAGGGTCTGAAAAAATACATGTATCCCTAGGACAGCAATTCTGAGCAATCCAGTTGCTGTTGGTAAGTGAAGATGTCACCATTTTGCAACTTCCTGCCAGCTTCCCCATTGTCTTTACTTGTCAGTAACTGGCAAAAAAGGTGGCAAATGGCAACCATGTGATTCAAGTCTCTATAAGAGCCAGAACTTGGATGAATGGTCAATTTCATTTGGCAGATTTCAAGTTGAATAGTCAGTGAATAGTCATTAAACGAGGACCACCTGTATTGTGATCTGTCAACTCCAATTTTACTTACTTTTGACCTTAATAAAATTTTGGCAGACCTCAAACAGAGGGTCTGTGATTTAGATATCAGACCAGATGGGTAAAATTCTCCATCTCTAATATATTGATTTAACTTAACTTACTGAACCGCCCCCTTGTAACTATTTTCTGATATCATGCCTCCTCATTATTTTCCCATAAGAAAAGTGTATTTGTATATGTTCAAATGCAGAGGTTGATTCTGTGTCCCATGTTCTATTAAAATGTTCACTCTACACACAATGATAATTCAAAGTTATAATCCTAATTATTACAGAGTGTAATTTTCCTCATTAGGAAGAGGTCGTTGCTTTCTTTTAAATGAGCAATTTCTAAAAACATCAGACCATTTTTTTATTTGTATCTTCAGCTGATAAGAATAGACTAGTGCCTTCTTGTCAGTCTTACCCGGTAGACCAGACAGGAAACATGAGCAGATGAACTTAATTCTACTTTGTTATAAAGCTGCATTAACAAAGCCTTTTAAAGTCTGAAAGCTCCTGCCATCTGAATTTTTCAACTTTGTCAGGGGACTTGGAGTACTCATCTCAAATGATCTAAGTGCTAGAGCCCACTGTAACTACATAGCCAAAAAAGGCTATGTTAACCTAATCCTACGTAGCTTCTTCTCTGGTAATATCACACTACTAACCAGAGCATACAAAACATTTGCTAGACCTATACTTGAATACAGCTCATCAGTCTGGAACCCGTATCATGCATCTGATATTAACACAATTGAAAAAGTCCAGAAATATTTCACAAGAAGAGTTCTCCTCTCCTCTACCCATTGTAGAATACCTTATGCCACCAGACTTGAAACTCTAGACCTAGAAAACCTAGAACTACGCCGCCTCCGATCTGATCTAAATATAGTATATAAAATCATACATTGCAATGTCCTACCCGAAAATGAATACTTCAGCTTCAACCATAACAACACAAGAGCAAACAATAGATACAAACGCAAGGTTAACCGCACCAAACTTGACTGCAGGAAATACGACTTCAGCAACAGAGTGGTCAATGTCTGGAATACTCTACCTGACTCTGTGGTTTTTTTTCCCCAAACC